GGGCTCCGGCGATCCTTCCACCTCAGCCTTCCAAGTAGCTGGAACTACAGGCGCGCGCTACCACACCCGGCTAATTTTTTTTGATTTATTGTAGAGATGAGGTCTCACCCAGTTGCCCAGGCGGGTCTCGAACCCGCGGGCTCAGGCAATCTACTCACTTCAGCCTCCCAAAGCGCAGGATTACAGGCTGAGCCACCGAGCCCGGCTAATAGATTATTTTATTTTAAATAGAAAATAATTCCTCAGAAATTTGAAGGAATTATTTTGTCAGCCCAGTATCTAGTGTTGCTAGATCATTCTAATTCCAATCTCATTGTTTGTCTTGTTGAGGAATTTCCCCCCCGGAGGCATTTATGATCTTTTTATTCATAGAGTTCTGAGATATCACAGTATTTCTTCATGTTGACTTTTCCTTATTTCTCTCATTATGGACCTGGGAAATAATTGCATTGTTTCAAAAAATACCATGTTCTCTGTTTTATATCTCTTTTTTTTTCTGAAATGTTTTTCTTTTGAAAGTTAGACTTACTGGATATCTGTAAGTTTTCCCCCTACCTCACTATGTTCAACCTATGCCTTTTTTGTTATGTAAATTTTATTTGACTCAGTCTTCTTTGTATATACATTTTTTTTTTATTTTAAAGTTGTGGGGTACAATTTAGGATTTGGTATACAAGTGGACATCGCACAGGTGACTATCTTCTAATACTGTTTTTTGAGTTAAAGTCTTGCTCTGTTGCCCAGGCTGGAATGCAGTGGCATGCTCACGGCCACCACAGCCTTAGCCTGCTGGACTCAGGTGATCCTTCTACCTCAGACTTCCAAGTAGCCAGAACTAGAGGTACACACCACCACACCCAGATAATTTTTTGATTATTATGGAGACAAGATTTTGCCAAGTTGCCCAGGCTGTTCTTGAACCCCTGGGCTCAGGCAATCCTCTTGCCTCTGCCTCCCAAAGTGCTGGAATTATAGACATAAGCCACTGTGCACAGCCCTAATACTGTTTTTTTATTTGAGAAGTTGTATTTTAAATTTATAAGTGCTCGCTCTTTTACTTTATTTGTTCCCTTTTTATATGCTACTGTTCTTTTTTAGTGAATACTGTTTAACAAAGCAGTGTTTCATGGACCCTGTGCGTCCCTATTCTCCATGGTATACCAAGAATACTAATGCCTGACTGCTCTTTACCTAGGCAGTTTCTCAGAGTCGTGTGTTCAGTGACAAGCCTTAAAGAATGAGGTGTCTCCCATAAAGTAAAGAAAGTACAGTTTTGTTATCACTTACTGTAAAAACAGGAAATCCCCTAAACTCAGTTTTCTTCTTGTGTAACATATCACCTGTGTGTACAGGCATCTGTGAAGGGCCCTTTGTGTCACCCTGTAAGACTTCAGGGCATAGGGAACTGATGCAAATGAAAATAATATAGTTCTTTTTTTCTGACTCAGTCTCATGTATTCTGCCAGTATCAATGAAGCTGTATCAAGCTGACTTGTTAGCTTGTATTGTAGGATAAGATCTCAGACCCTGCAAGCAGTTCTTGAAAAATATAACATCTTCTCTCACTTGTTCTTAGTATATTAGTTAGATTTACTTTTTAATGATTTTGGTTCTTCTTTTAGAGTTTGTTTTTCTTTATTTGTTTTGGAAGATTTTAAAAATCATGTTAAGTTTTCCTCAAATATATATTTCTTTTTTTTTTGTCTTGTTATTAAACATTATTAAACAAGAGAACGGCTGACATTGGGACTGGTTGGGGAGGGCGCAGAAGTTTGGATCTGTTATTCATTTAAAGAAGTTTAGTTATGATCCCTAATTTTGGCTTTATTTCGTATATGCAGACTCTGTTGCTTCTGAATCCAGTGCATTTCCTACTTTCATCTTGCAATTCAGTCTCCTTTGAGATTGTAGCTTCCTCCATCAAAACTTTTCACCAGCTTTCTATTTTGCATATATTTGTTGAAATTGCTTATTTGCTGGTGACTTTAATCCAAATCTCTTTGTTACTGTGAGATTGTACTTTTGTATTTCTTTATTTCCATTTTTGGGAGAGGAAGGAGATAAACTCCTGAGAGTTGTCAACTATATAGAAGTAATCTTATTTTTTTAAAAAAAACTTTAGCAATAATTTATTGCTTTTTGTTTCTATTAATGTGCTTATATCATTTCACTAATGCCTTTTCTCTATTTCTACTCTCTGCCGACATCTAAATATAAAATTTTATCATCTGGAAAATTGGAAAAATGTCTGATAAAAATGGGTTACAAATAGGAAGAAATATCATCTTAGAGGCAAGTTTGTTTGTGGCATCTGGTTTAAGCTATAAATAAGTTTGTTATATGCATTTTTAGGTAAACAGAATATATAAAGATGCAGTATTAATGTATTTACAGTTTTAAAATGTATATTTCCTTATGATTTTTGTTACTCTGTTAAACCAAACTGTGAATATTCTTAAAATTGGTTTATGTCTTTTACTAAAAATTATTGGAAGATGTAATTTATATAGGGCATGCCACAGAATGTTTTTATCCTCTACTATAAGAGTTGGCAAACTCTTTAAAGGACCAGGCCAGTCTTGTGACACATAACAGTTGCTGTTACTTTATTCAGCTTTGCCTTTATAACACAATAGTGGCCAAAGGCAGTATGTAAATGAATAAATGTGACTGTGTTTCAATAAAACTTCACTTATGATCACCTAAATTTGGATTTTATATAACTTTTACCTGTCAAGAAATATTTCTTCCTTTTTTTTTTTTTTTTTCTTTACAACCATTCAAAATATTTAAAAAACTAGTCTTCACTTGCAGTCGGTATACAGATTGGCCAATACTTGCCCTAGAATTACCTATTCTATTAACTGCTTTATTAATGTGTCAGTACTTACATGTTTCTTCTCTGCCCCATTATTCTTATCAGGCAAGCTAATGAAGAATATCAAATACTGGCTAACTCCTGGCGCTATTCCTCTGCTTTTTGTAACAAACTCTTCTTCAGTATGGTGGACTATGATGAGGGAACAGATGTTTTTCAACAGGTAAAAAGAGTTATATTTTCTTTTTGTGATATACTTAACACAGTTGGTTATGGTTGATCCATTTTTGTTTGCTTGCCAAATAAAAATACAGTTTATTGAATGTGTTAATAAATACAATAAATAATTATAACAAATTCTGTGATTCAAATAATTACAGCTAGTGTTACCATATAATTGTATACTTTTGCCACTACGTTTGATAAACACATTTTATCTTTTGCCTTATGAAGAAAATGTGCTTTATTCAGCATGCAGTGGCAGTTTACATACATTAATCTTATATTTGTATTTGACTACATGTGGTTTAGATAGTATTTTGCACAAACATATGACATTTTTTATAAAATTCATCACAGGTTTTATTTAACCTTTTTTTTTTCACTGCAACAGATACAGAGAATTTTACATGTAAATGACTAAATATTTATTTTAAAGTGTTTTCTCTCTGTTTTGGGCTGAACCATATTCCCCAAATTCATATGTTGAAGCCATAACTCCCAGTGTGACTATTTGAAGATTGTGGTTGAAGCAGGTAATTAAAGTTACATGAGGTCTTAAGAATGGGGCCTAATCCAGTGGGATGAATGTCCTTGTGTGAAGAACACCAGGAGTGCATGTGCACAGAGAAAAAGCTGTGTGAGGACACAGGAGGGCATACACCCAGAAGAGAAACTTCACCAGAAACCAACTCTGCTGTTACCTTGATCTTGGACATACAATCTTCAGAACCAATAAACTCTCATGTACAGTCTTCTTTATAGAGCAAAGTACTGGACTTTGACATTAGACTGCTACTTGTCATCTATATGGTTATGGTATGTCATCATCATTGCTCACATTGAGAACTTTTGTTTTAGGCCCTGTTCTAAGGGCTTCGTATGTATTTTTTCATTTAATTTCACAGCTGTCCAGTGAGACAGATGTTGGCTCCATTTCACAGGTGAGAAAATAAAGTATGGAGAGACTTGCTCATCCAAGGTTACAAATATCTGTAGCTAAAAATTGAACTCAGCAGAACTGAGTGTCTGACTTCCAGAGTCATAGCTCTTATTATGCTGTTACCCTGCAGTTACTAAGTTTTTTTATGTTGTTGCCACTTGATCATTCCCTTTAAAATGCAACACGTATTGTAGTACCAAGTGTTGATTGGTTTGGGTGTGTTGACCTGTTTAGTTTTTCCTCACATCTCTTTACCAGATCATGGAAAAGCATGTAGTTCTGTAAGAAATCTAGCCTACTAATTGTAAATCTCCATTTGTGATTATTTTTGCTTATTTGTCACCATATTGATTATTTATTTGTCTTGGTCAGTTTCTAGTTGAATAAGATAAATTATTTCTTTTTGCCTTCAGTTCCTTTTTCCTATTACTTATTTCTTCCTCTATAAATTTATTTTTATTTTTAGGGTGTTTCTTTGTGTTTAGTCTACAGATAGTATTGAGTGCCTACAAGTGGGAACAGTAAACTGTCAAGAAAAACTTACTTGGTTCTTCCCTATAAACATCTTACAAACTAGGAAACTAACATAATAATAATAATTAATAATAATAATAATATCATAAATTTTTTTTAAAAAAAATCAAATAACCTTATAAAAAATTGCAGTGCTATAAGAACCAAATGTCATTTATTTAAGTCCAAGAAATTCTATAGCATTTCAGGAGAATTGAATCTAGAGATTATCAATCAGATGAAAATGCTCTTCATTATATTTGAATGCATTCTATCATATTGACAAATTGTCATCTGGGTTCAAGCTGAGTGCTAGAGCATGGTCTTAAAGCCCAAATATTGACCCTAAATAGACCTGTAAACTCAATGAGGAAAGTGGGTTGGGTTAGTTTAGTTTTGTTGTTCTATCTTTGTTAAGTTATTTTTGTTGATAGTACATTATCTTTGTTTCATTATATCTAATATGCTAAGTATATACTTAGTATATTAAACATATTCACTTTCACAAATAAATATGCTTTTTCCTGTTTTTATTAAAACAGTGTCTTTCTTGGTCTATCATTAAAACAGATATTTAATAGAAACACACATATTTTACTTTGTTTCTAAATACTGTAAGAACTAAGAATTGACAAAAACACCATGCATCTTACCCTTGGTGTCATTATTGGGAAGGCAGTATGGTGTGGGTGGGGAAAAAATATGCATTTGTCTCTTTTTAAAATGTTGGTAGTTATTTAAAAAGAACTTTGTGGAATAATGAACTTACTTTGTGTTGAGTACTAACGTTAGGTTGCTAATAGATAATCATACAGAAATCTGGTTAGAATCATTGAATTCTTTTATATGTTTTAGACAACTTTTTATTTTTGGCATAGATATTAGAGTTGCAATCAAGATTGTTTTTAATTGAAACTTTCCTCAGGTTAATTTTAATTCAGCAAGATTTCTAGTGTAGCACTGCTCTTTCTTTTCTAAAACCTAGCCCTTGGCTTAGCAATAAGAGTTTTTATTTTAAAATGCAGGAATGCATAAAGGTTATAGCAGTTAATAATTTTTATGAGGAATTAGAATCTACAAAAATTGGGAGGTATGTATTTTGCCTCACTTGAGAACTACTAAAATATTTTTAAAGCTTTCTATTCCCCAACTAAATTATGAATCATGTTTTGTTGAAGTAATCTGTAAATTGATGTTTTAGAGCACTGTCAGCAGTAGTGTGGTGTGGAAGGTAATATATTAATATTAAAACAAGTGAAGAAACTTGGTAATTTCTGGCTTGTTGGGGACTTGTTGGGAAAGGAACTTCAATTATATGTGATTCCCATAGGAATGGCTGAGGCTAAGTATCTGATGATAGACCAGTGGGTTAATAAATACTGTGTTGGAAGGAGCTCTGGGCTAGGTAATAGGTCTGTGTTGTGCCCTGCTTTGTGTAGCCTTGGGGAATTTGTGCGTTTTAATTTTAAAAAAAAGGATTTACATTATTAGTTTTGCTTTTTCACTCTAAGATTCTAGAACATTAGTCCTTAATATGTATTTTCTGATTGTTTTAATGCAAGGAGTGAGGACGAGGCCACTTCCTCCATTTTAATCTTATATTTACATGAGAGCTGCAGTTATTTCTTGTGTGTCAATGAGGGACACATAAGCAAGCTCTCAAAGAGGAGAAGCACAGGAAAAAAGGGAACTGTGTGTTTTGTTCACTTTAGCCAACATCACTGTCTATTACATGCAAACCCCCTGCTGGGAAATGGAGTAAGATAGACTCCTGACGTTCACAGACTATCTATCTATGTATCTATGTATCAATCTCTCTATCTTTCTCTCTCTCTACCTATCTCTCTATCTCTGTCTTTCTATCTTTCTATCATCTATCTTAGTTTATATGTAATAATCTGTGTAATGTTTGTACCATATTACAGGGATTTTTGAAAAATAATTTAGTCTCCTACTAAATTTGGTCAAAATTTTTGCAAAAAATTGTTTATGAAAAAATGTTTGGGGGAGGAGCCAAGATGACCACTGTGGAACAGCAGATTGGCACCACTCTTACCTAGCAAGACAGAGAGTAGGGATTTCATACAGTTAGTTGGAGTTACCCTAAGTACTTATAGACGGGTTAAACATTGTGAACCCAGCAAAGGTCTCTCTGAGTCCACAGAAAAGCCATGGCAGGCATGGAATTCCAGGCACACCCTCATCCCCTGCTTCTCACCAGGCACACACAAAAAAGGAAGATGTGATCAGAGAAGGAAAAGGGCAAGTGATTATAAGATGCTTTGACTTGGTTCACCAGTGCCATCAAATGCATGAAACACTGCTTTCATGAGGGAGAAAACCTGGTGGGATTGCAGTAGTGGCCGTCAGAGCCCGGGTATAATGGGGAGCAGATCCTGAGTGGGGAAGGCCCACTCTGGGGTGAATCTAACAGACATGCTCATAGCTGGCACCTGGTGGAGCAACAGACCAACATCTCTCTTTCAGAGAAGGGCAGAGAGTAGAGGTCCAGCCACCAATTAAAGGAGGCACCCTGAACACGTGTAGAAAAGTGAAACTCCTCGCACCTAGCAGGGGACTCCTTGAACACACAGAGACCAAAAGGGCAAGAATGGGAGTCTTGTTGCCCCATTCTCCTGCCACATATGTATAGAAGCTGAGATCATATTGAGTGAGGGAAAGGGGTGAAAGATTCTGGGATAAACTGGGTTACATCAGCCCTCTCCAGTGGCCATCAACCACAAGCAGCAGGGCTGAAAACTGTCCCAACTAGTTGTGCAGCGTGAGAGATAATCTGCAGTTAAAAGAACCTACCGCAGGGTGGAGCTCCTCCCTCTCACACTGAATAAAATGAGGCAGAATCAAGAAAGAAACACAAGCAACTCTCAGGATTTTAATGAAACAGCACATGAAAAAGCACCCCACAGAATGACCTGCCCTAGTTGATGGCCACAGACATCAGAGAATGAATGGCACAAGTGAAAAGAAATAAAGAGAAACATGAAGCGAAACACAGAGAAGTTATACAGGACCTGAAAGTGGAGTTGGCCAACTTCATAAAAGCCTATTCTGAAATAATGGAAATAAAGAGCTTTATCCTTGAAATTAATGACAAAGTAACACCTATTGGGAATAGGCTAAACCAAGCAAAGGAAAGACCAATCTCCTTGATGAACATAAATGTAAAAATTCTAAACACATCTTGGGAATCATTCACCATGACTAGGTGGGATTCATTCCAGGGATGCAAGTCTGATTCAGCATTCACAAGGCCATAAGCATAATCCAGCACATCAACAGCTGTAAAACCAAGAACCACATGATTGTATCATTAGACACAGAAAAAGCATTCAACAAAATCCAGCATCTCTTCTTGATAACATGCTTGAGCACCTAGGCATAGAAGGAACATCCCTAAAAACAGTTAGAGCCATCTGTGATAGACCCACAGCCAATATTTTACTCAGTGGTCTGAAATTGGAAGCATCCCCCCTTAGAATGGGAATAAGACAAGGAATGCCCACTCTCACCCCTCCTGTTCAACATAG